GTTTATCACTGCTGTTTGTTTTATATTTTTAATCCTGCCATGTTTTCAACAAGTTGACCTGACATGAGCACACGATTCAATCGAAAACCAGCACTTGGTCAGCGGTCAACTTCAAAAAACACGTGACCTTGATGACCTATAAACTTGATCCCACAATGTTGCCTGATACTGGTCAGTGGATACCTTGTTTTGACAGGTGTCAATTGATCATAACATGGATGTCCAATATCAAAGAAGTACATGGTAAATCAAGGCCTCATGTCCCTGTCAATTAACCTATTATTTGGAGTATGGCCGCCATGTTGTGCGACTCCATTGTTGTCGTTGCCATTGTGCGTATGCACCCATGAGCAATACTGCTAGCCATGATAACCATGAGAAAATCAACTCCAGGGTTTCCTTTTCTTTCCTATAATTATGAGTATGGGGTTCTGCTAGGCGGCCCTTCAGGCTGCTGTAGCTCTGCTAATACTTGTCAGATACTTGTCAGATTTTTATTACTGAAAACACCTTCGGATTAGCAGCTGAAGCATATTGAAGATTAACTACAGAGTGTTGGTCTGTATTTTGTTACAAATAACGAAAAAAAAATGGTATGTGCTTGTCATAAATTAGCATGGATTAACAAAGTTTGGATGCTAAATTTAGGTCTGAGAAAGGTTAAACAAGAAACCACAGCACCGCAAATAAGTTTATTTCACCAAACACTGTAACGTGAAAAATACAAACATCGCACACTGAAGGGTTTGAGATCACTGCAACACTGCAAGTTGGGATTTAATTCACCACATGACTGCTTTAAAAACAAAAGAACAAGCTTAAAATTTGGCCTGTAGGCAATTTTAAAGCTCCCATTTGATTTGCGTTTGCCCAAAGCACAGGGGACCTGATCACTGTACCAGCAATAACATAATCATTATCATACATTCATGTACAATAAATGTACTGTTATTTACCTGTGTTCCTGGGTCTTTTTGAACCCTTTAGAAGGGATTTGATTATAGAAGCAAAGGTGGTCTACATTTCAAATTATCTTGTCTGCTGCTCTGTAAATGCGACGATTTGATTACGTCTCGAGTTTTCAATATCTTCATTAACCACCTGTATTAACTCTCATCAGGCAAGTTTTCGCTATCTTCATTGACTATATATTAACTCTCATCAGGATAGCAACTCTCAGGTTTCATTTTGTCCTCAAACCTTCAAGACGTTGATGACTATATGGGATTATACAATAATTGCATAATCCCACAAAAATTCATAACTCCATCAAACTTGGACAGAATTTAATTGTTAAAACTTTAAAATATTGAAGAGAGATGAAACTTTTGCACATTCAACTTGTTGGAATAAAAAACTGTGTTTTGGCAGCATCTGACATTTATAGGTAAATTTCAGAATCTCCCAAGGCAATGTAGCCAGCTGTTTTGAGGTCACCTTGAAACTGTCTTGCAAAAAAATTAAAAAAATCAAACTGACCCAAATAAATGTGATATTTGTACATGAGACTTTTACTGAAAAATGAGGCCAATTGGAAGAAGTCCAAAATTTACCTTATCTGTTCTTATGCGCACAGCCTCTTAAACGTGAGTATAAAGAGTGACATTCTGCAGTTTAAATGATATTTCTATGAGTAGTTTTTTGAAACACATTTTAGAATAAGAATTAGCGATAAAAAAATGACATTTTGATCTCCCTGAGATCATTTTCAAGTTGTAGAAAAAGCGAATGAAATATACATAATATATATGTACAAATTAGGGTGTGAGAATGTCCAACAATAAAATATGTAAATACAAGCGCTAAAATGTAAGTGTTAAAATAATAAAATACTCTAAAAAAACTACATAAATAACTTTGCACAGATTGAATCTGACTGTTTGTTCAAAGTTGGCTTAAGCTCCTTTATAAAAAGCATTTCGTAGATCAGGCAGTGAAATTTTTTTGGCACTTTCTCAAGAGCTTAAAATCACGATATATGTCACTTGGGACTGTTCCATGTTGCTCTTTAATGTGATTCCCAATTGAAGACAATCCTTTGTGTTCCTCAACATGCTGATAGAGGTGTCGGCACATATACCCAACATGGTTTGCATTGCACAAACCACACTTGTAATAGTAAATAATGCGTTGCTGGTTAATGACAGTTGGCTTCTTTTCTTTTGGCTTGATCTCGTGTCCGATCTTACGGCTTGTATTCACGGGGGAAATATCAATCCAATTTTGCAGCCTAGTTCCCCAAGTTGCCTTCACATGGAATTGGCTGATCTCTGATCCTTGAATGGTAACACTATTCTGACAGGCGCTTCATTTACGTTACATGCTCATGTCGAAATTGGATTGATATTCGCCCCGTGAATATAAGCCGTAAGATTGGACACAAGATCAAACCAAAAGAAAACAAGCCGCCCATCATTAACCAGCAACATGTCGTTTACTATTACAAGTGTTGTTTGTGCGATGCAAACTATGTCGGGTATAACTGCCGACACCTCTATCAGCATGTTGAGGAACACAAAGGATCGTCTTCAATCGGGAATCACATTAAAGAGCAACATGGAACAGTCTCAAGTGACATATATCGTGATTTTAAGCTCTTGAGAAAGTGCCAAAGTAAATTCGACTGCCCGATCTACGAAATACATGTACTCTCTATAAAGGAGCTTAAGCCAACTTTCAACAAACAGTCAAACTTAATCCGTGCAAAGTTATTTATATAGTTTTTTAAAGTATTTATTATTTTAACACTTACATTTTAGCGCTTGTATTTACATATTTTATCATTGGACATTCTCGCACCCTAATTTGTTCTTACATATGTATATTTCATTCGCTTTTTCTACAACTTGAAAATGATCTCAGGGAGATCGAAACGTCGTTTTTTATCGCTAGTTTTTATTCTTATATGATATTCACTAAATTTTAAACTTACCCTGCGAGCAGTTTCCCAGCCATCCCCCATGTTAACTGCTGTCCCAGGAGCAATGAGATTACGAGGATGACCATAATGCATATTGCTCCAGCCCACAACAGCTCCACCATTCTCCATGGCTGCCAAGTCTATCAGCATCTATTATTGAAGTGAATATGTGAAATAGAACTATTATTACCTGAACTGTGGAAGAAAGAATTCCGACACCAAAACTCATCACAGTTCTAAATGCAACTTAGTTACAAATTCAAAAATTATAAAGCTTGAGCTTAAAACAAATTCAGGCATAAATGGGATTCACACCCATGTCCTCTGTGATAAGTGTAAAATGCTCCACTAACTGAGCTTCTAATTCTAGCCAGTAGAAAGATAGTAGATGAAAGATTGTTGCAGTCAAGAATGCAACTAAATCAGTTGCAGAAGTAAAGGCTGAAGAACATTCAGGATTGATATATTCTTACAGCCTTTTTTCAAAGGCTTTTTAAAGCTTAACTAGGGAGCAGCATTCATGCAAACTTGATGTTGTAACACTTCCTTTACCCTGCAGAACAGGCGTAATTTTTTTGCGTATTTTAGGTGAACAGAGGCAAAAGCGAGGCAAGCGTGAAGCGTGCTCTTCCCCTTGTGCGTGACTCCCACTTTGCGCTCACCTCACTTTTGCCTCTATTCACCTAAAATACACAAACAAATTATGCCTGTTCTGCAGGCTACACTTCCTTATTCCTATGGGTTTTGTCTGGAAGTGGCATATTACAACCAGCTGTCCCATATATATACCTTAAACTTCATTATTTTACTTTTCAAAACATACCACACCTCTGGGAGTAGCTACATGTATTTATCTGTGTGTAGGAAACAGGTGGAATATTTGAGAAAACTAAAACTGTGCCCCCATAAATATAGTCACTGGAGTCAAAGATAAGCTTGAGTAGATGACAGTATACTTAAAAACTGTTCCTGGCAAACCTCAAATGTTCGCCCTTAAAAAAGGCTTCTTTCCTAGAAAGGTGAAATGACTCAAAGGGTCTGTATTGATCAGAGGCTTCTCAAAGGCTAATCCATTTTACCAATTACTGCTGTACAAACACCTAAGAGAATACCCTTTAAGTGGTCACAAAGTGAAAATTTTTGCTCAATTACAAAATTTACTGGGTGTCTCAAACTCTAAGACCTAGCTAAGACCTGAGAACTAAGACCTTAGACCTAAGACCCCCTCCAAATCTCACAAACTAAGACCTAAGCCCCAGCCCCCCAAAACTCAAAAACTACAACCTAAACACTCTCTCTAAATTGCAAAAACTTGCATGGCATCATTGTAACCTGTGGTTTGGTATCATTCTCAGTTATCTCAGGATGCCTATAGTTTGCTAGGTAAGTAATCTTTTCATTTTTTTAATTGATGACATCATACAACATCGTCGCTTAATGTCAGCATGTTAAATTCCTTTGGATAAATGATGTCGTGCAAGATTTACCCAGAATCAAACTGAGGAGATGAAAACTGCCATCTTGATTTTGGTAATCGAGTGACATTGTTTTTCGGTGGCTTGTGGTATTGACAATGTGTCAGTTAGATTTGAGATCATACAAACCAGAAGGCAACAGACAGCAGTTTTTTTTAAAGGATTAAAAAGGTGAGTTGTACCTCTGAAATTGTTGTTTTTCTCGAACATGCAATACATTTGATACCAAAATGACCCATAATGAAAAGTTCTGTTCTATGCTGTTAATTGTTTGCATTTTATTGGAGAGCAATAAATCTTCCAACATCGAGTAATTCAAAGTCCTTGCAATGAACACCTTCATAGCAAATGACTAGTTTTTACACGCTGCTTTTCACTTGGCTTGTCAATGTATGGAAATACCCTTGGCCAGCAGCAAGGGGGGGGGAGGGGGGCAGGGGTGAATGGACTTTTTCTGTGGGCATCCCACACCCTCGATGTCCACAGAACAGCAAAATAACCCCCCAGGGGGGCACTCACATCTTCGATAGCCAAGGGGTCTTTTGCAGCAATAAACGCCCAATGGCAAAAGATGCCCACAGAAAAAGGCCACTCACCTCCCCTGCTGTGGTCTTTCGCAGCAATAAATGCCCAATGGCAATTCAATAACCCAATTAGAGAGAAGTTGAAACTATTTCAATATGAGAAGCCATAACTATTGTGCCTGGCTGAAAAGGGGAGATACCGAAAACTGTGGAAAGGCTTATTGTGACGTTTATTGCAAAATCCATAGCTTTAAGATTAGGCACAGTAGAAATATACCATTGCCTCGTAGAATATGTGGTAAAGGAGTTCAGAGTAAGATACAACTCTGCTGTAATTCATTGGCTGAGAAAAAGAAAGAAATCGTGAAAGTAAACATAGAAGTCGTTTTGATCGTGTTATGGCAGAACTGCTTGCAATTCGACAACCCAATTAAACACAGACATCTGTATACAAAAACATGGGACGTGGCAGAAAAGGTCTGGATGAACAAAGCCAAAACAAGCCAAAAATTAGCAAGAATAAAGAAAGAGAAGAAACCGCAGTGGTGGCATAAAAAATATCATTTTTTGGTTTTGTCAATCAGATCACAGTGAATAAAGTAAGTGGATGGGCTGTTTAACTTTTTGACATTAAGTTACAGTAAACACCCGC